GCTGGGCTGTGTTTTCCTGCCAGCACACCACTGTTCAGCAAACTACCGTGCTTAAGGCCAGCCAGCTAACACAGTGATTCCTTTTTACTCCTGAGGAGTGTTTCCGTAATCACGGCTGTGCTGGGGGATGAATGACAGCTTACACCAAGAAGCACAAAATGCACTTCCAGGAGCTTTGCTGAGCTGGGACAGAGCTAAAGCAGCTTCAAGCTGCCAAGATATTTGAGACATCCAGAGGAAGACACATTTAAAAATAGAGCCTGCTCCTTAGCTCCTCTGTGCTGACCAAGGACTGGGAAAGGAGCAACTTCCCCATCCTCTCTTTTCTGTGCTGTCACATCTCACCTTGGGCCAGACTGTGAGAAAAAATTAGTATAAAACTAATAGTAACAAATAGTTATATTTACACTATTAGTATAAAACTAATAGTAATAAATTGCAATGGTTCTATATTTACAGTCTCTTATTTGTCGTTGTTGTTGTTGTGGTTAAAACTGGTTATGTTGCAAGGAGGAGAAAAGGGTTTCTCTTTCCAACCCTTGGAAAGCCGAGTTGGAAGTTCCTGTTCACATCACTGCAGCAATGCAGACTTCTCTGGTGGAAGTGTTTTCTTTTTTTCTGGTGGAATTATACCTCAAGTCCTGCTAGGTAGTTCCTGTCTTTGTTCCTGTGAGCCAAGATCATGCTATGCCATGCTTATAATATAACCTCGCACTAGAAAGAAGATTACAAAGGGGGCAAAATGCCCTCGAGGGTTCCCCTTTATCAGAACCTTCCCTGTCAGTTTGCCTTCTCATTTCCTGAGCTCTTGTCTGATTATTAGTGTACTGACAGAATAAAAATAACCTCATATTCCTACATGAATCATAAATAAAACCCTTTTATTTCATCAAAGAGGCTGGCAGGTTTATAGTCCTTTGCAATGCATGCACGATGTGAATGACATACCTTTAATTTTGCTGACAAGCTTGTCGGGGTCCTAATGAAAAAGAGTGAAAAGTGGGTGACTTCTCTAAAGGTTTAGCAGTTGCTTTTTGGTGAGGATATATATTTCACCTTGCTACTGTAATCAAGGAGCCAACTGATCTTGGTAATGAACTCTTCAATTACAGTCCACTCCTAACTCTTCAGGAATGCCTCGGCAACAATACCACAGTGATTATTGCTGATATTACACATTAAAGCAACCTGGGGGGAATACAGAGGGGTAAAAGGGGAAAGACAACCTGAGCAGCATCTGTGGCAGAGCTGCAGGTATCAGGGTGCCTCAGCAATGATCACATTCCGGTTTTATATCCCTGCTGCACACCAGCCAACAATAAAATCACCATTCCCACCTGCATGTTGACAGTTCATATTCCTCCCCGTTTGTTCAAGCAGACACTTTGCTTCTAGAAACCAATATCAAGAATGGTAGAGGATACCTTGGGACAGCCCTACTATAAAGGGGGAATAGTGCAGAGTATTCCTTTTGGTGTCTCTAACAAACAGGTTTTCTGATAAAGGTTGCACAAAGAAAGGCCCAGGCACACAAAAACAGGCACAGCACAATCAGAAAATCTTTCCTATCTGGACTCTTGCACAGGGTTAAAAGGTTAATTGCTCTAAAAAGAGGGAAGCAAACAGTTAAAAATATATATTTTTAGTAGTGTTGAGAGTTCTCTCCCCTTCTTCAACACATTCTTTCTTATTTCTCCTTTTTTCTGTCTCTTATTTTGCTCATGTAAAAGTCAGGAGGCACTCAGAGCCCCACATTTGCTTTCTGACCACAAACAAACCGTCAAAGCCACAACCATTTCTCCCTTCATAAAAAGATTCCTGCTTTTTTTTGGAAGCGTCTCAGGTCTTCACTCAATAATTCTGAAAGAAATTAAGGGAATGTGACAGCTTTATTTGATCTCTTGGAGCTTATGCTTCTTTTTTGGTGGCGATTCCTGTCTTTAGCAACTCCTCATGAGAGAAAGTTTGGGACTTGGTGAGTTATACTGGCCTGATGGATTCTCTTTTTTGATTCTTTTTTTTTTTTTTTTTTTTTTGGTGGGGATTCAGAGGTGGGGATGCTGAGAGAGAAAATTAGGGGCACATAACAAAGGTCATCTGAGCAGAGAGACAGGATTGTGCATACACAGGGAGGTGGGACAGAAAAAGGGAAAATAATATGGACACTGATTTCCAGATTGCTGTCTTGACAGTATTTTACAAGATTCCAGAGATGCACTTTTAATTTTCATTACTTTCCATCTTCCTTTGATAAGCTCAGGAGCAGTATCTAATTTTATTAGGAGCTTTTCATCAAACGTGGATATCTTCCTTCCTGCAGGGATTCCCTAGCCACAAAAACATCAGGTTCTGTGAAACATTAGTTAATCCCAGTTAGAGTTACTTGACCCTATCAAGCTAAGAAATAAATTTTACTCTTCATGAGAGTCCTACTGTTTACACTCAAGACAAAATTCTTAGATCTCAAAGTTTTCAGAGGAAAATCATATTTCATAATGCCAGAAAACTGGCCTTAAAGACCTGGGCCATAGAGGCCTGAAACTGTTTCTTGTTTCAAATTAAATACTCTGACAGACTTCCTCCTGACTGTGCCTGACACCAGGGCCTGGTTTTCTTGGCATAAAACCCAAAAGGGTGAGGGCAGGAGCCACATCCAGTCCCACATTGCTACCTCTGGCCCTCAGCCTTCCCCATGCAGCTGCTCACAGATGGAACTGGTGAGAATCAAAGCCCTTCTCCCGGCCCAGGGCAGAGCAAACTCCTCAGCAGGAGCTCAGGGTTTGGTGAACCTTTCAGAGGGTTTTGGTTGGGAAGGTGCAGGAAGGTGCTGCTGGTGACCAGCACGACCCCAAAACTTTGGAGAACAGGACCAGCCACTCTGGTCCACCACTGGCTGCAGTGCTGTCACTTGTTCAGCTGTTTGCAGTGTAAGGTCTTGCTAGAAAAGGTTATGAAAAGACTCATACACTCCAAAATTATCAGTTTGTTATCACTATTAATAATACTTTATAGTACTTAACATGCTACTTTTTATCTTCAAAGCACTTTGCAAATATTAATTAATCCTCACAGCCTGCCTGTGGGGTAGGCAAGTGCTGCTGCTCCCAGAGCTGAGGCACAGGGTTAGCTGATGTTCTCAAGTCCAGAGGGTCAGGATCAGCCTCTGCACATCCTGTTCTGATGCCCAAAATATTTAAAGATGGTGTTTCCCCTGCTCTTAGATGGGGTGGTGAATGTGCACCACTTTTGCTGTGCAGGAGATATTTTCTTAAAGTGCTGGTTTGAACTGACAACTGCAACTCCAGCAGCTTGGACAAGGCTGCAGCTTTCTCCCTTCCCACATATTTCTGCATTGATGGGAGAGGTGGGCAATTACTGCTAGCTGATTAAAGGATAGGATCATGAACGAGTTCTAAAACTACTCCTCAAGCTGAGAATTTGTAGCTTTGTAGCGGAGAATTGTGTGTATGTACACAAAAGTGATCAGAGTCACAGCTTAAAGAAGAAGCAGATTCCTTTTAAGATTTACCAGGCCACCATCACTGACACATAAGCAAAGGAAGAGTTTCACTGAAAGCAGCCTGTGTTTGTGAGGACTATTAGCATAATGTTTGGGTTTTCTTCACTTGTGGGTTTGGGTTTGTTTGTTTCATTTCTAAACAGCTTCCAACACTTTCAGTGCTAACAGCCGAAGGAAGATTTAGAGGGAAGGACAGGGCCATGATGTGGTTTTATTTGTCCATGCTTCTTTGAGTTGGTAAATCACACTGCATTGCTTTATTGAGTGTCCCTTTAGGAGTATATTGGAAAAAATTCTATCTGCCACAATTAATAGAGTGCCTAGTGCATCACAGGCACAGCCCCGGCGTCGGGACTCGGCATTCTCCTGGAGCCCTTTGGTCCCACACTGGATGCCAGAAAGGATAGTGGCTGTGACATGTGATACAACTGCTGATAAATGATGGTGATAATGCAGAACAAAAAGGCTAATGAGTTCTCCCCAACACCACACTACTTTCATGAAATGAATGTGATGATGGCCCTATTTGCTACTTTTTTCTCTTTTTTTTTTTTTTTGGCTAGTGAGTTACTTATCCCTCTACCTGCATGTTGGTTTTATCTTGTCTACACAATGCTATGGAGAGACAGCCAAAATTAATGTCAGCATCTGCCTTCACTTTTAAACTATAAAAGAGCCTTTGAAGGTAGAGTAAACCAAAGAGGCCAGTAACTAATTATAACCCATTGTACTGGACTTTGGGAATAATGAATAGAAGCTATTCCCCGAGAGCTCAGCAGAGACAGTGGTGCCTTTGTGGTGAGGGAGATCCCTTCACTGGACCAGAGAGAGGAGAAATGGGATTGTTAATGTATGTAAGAGGCAGGAGGATTTCTATGGTGCTATTTCACTGCAGAGGCAGAAGGGAGCAGAGCCAATCATGGGAAGCGTAAAGGTGTGAAGGCACAAAGATGGAGAGTTGATTAAAAGCACCGTGGGGAGCGCGGGCGAACAAATCAATGGTAATGATGGAATTATGCCCGAGCGGAACCCAACAGTCTGTGGTGTCCTGGTGACTCGGAGCTGGGGATTAAATGATGCAGGAGCAGAGCCGGCCCTTGTCCTGCCTGTCAGCACTCAGGGATGGGCTGATCGATGGCACGGGCTCTGCTGCACAGTGGGGTGAGCCCAGCACAGGCACCTCTGCGAGGTGTGAGGGTGGGATCCTGCCCAGGGGGCAGCAGCGGTGGGGGCGGGATGCCCACATGGTTGTCATACCTGGAGTGGGACAGGGCCCAGCTGGGGGAGCAGAAGGATGAGGAAAGAAAAGGTAAGAGATGAGGGAAGGGGCCCTGAGGGTGCTCAGTGGGGTCGGGAAGCAGGGCAGCAAAGCCACAGAGGATCCCATGGAGCAGAGACTCGAGCGGCACTGGGGACACAGGGAGCACTGGGTGGGCACATGAATGGCACTGGGCACATGAGCGGCACTGGGCATACAAACCGTGTAGCCAGGCAGGGCTCGGAGGCACTGGCAGGAGCTGAGGGAGCAGAGATCAGAGCTGGCTGCAAAGGCACCGAGAGAAAGGCCTGGAGCCGCCTGCAGGGAGGGAAGAGAGGATTGGAGCAGCTGCCAAGATAAATGCAGGCCTGGCTTAGCTGGGGCAGCACAGGCTGAGGGCTGCCTGCCCTCCCTGAGCTTGCCCTGCTGGCTCTGACACCTCTACAAGCAGAATTACAAAAACACAGCCTTGGTTCCCTTCTCCTTTACTCCTTTACGGATTCCTCTGCTGGTTTGAGGCACACATCTTTATGCACATAAATATCCCAGAAGCCCCTACTCCTATGGCAGAGTCACCACTCCCACCTGGTTCTGTGGTTGGTGACCTCAGGAGAGAGGATGTGGGGACCATCTCTGGTCACACAGCATTGCCAGAGGGGAATTAAATGGGTGAAGAACAAGCCCAGGAACAGAACCTGTCAGGATAGAGCTCTGTCCATAAAGGACTGTGCCAGAAAAAAGCAAACCAGAAATTTTCCCTCTGATGGCATCAGTGCATCAGCCCGTGTGAGGCAGAGCAAGAGGACAGTCTGACCTCAGGGTCTGCATGACAGGAGATCCTCCCACACCACACAGCCAGAGCCAGACCTTTAGCAAACGTAAGGGCCATCATGCCTGGCCCTTTGGCACAAACTCACCACGAAATAAGTGAAAGCTAAACATTTTCAAAGTCAAATATTTGCCCAGTGGTGAAAAAGGCCACTGCAGCCAGAGAGAAGCTGTTCCTAGGTGGCCTCAGCCTGAGCAGATCCTGCAGGACTGCTCTGGTGGTCCCAGTTAAGAGACCCTCAGATTGCTGAAGTCTACTTGTGCTCAGGCCAGCTGGGGAGGAGAGAGCCAATTTTAGTCATCCAGAGTCTCCAGAAATAAAATTCTGGAAAGGAAAAGACAAAGACTTTCAAGTAGAAAATGCACAGATTCTTTCCAAATGGTCTTAATGAAGATTATTTAAATATGGAGAGTTAAAATATCCCATATGTTAGCTCCCTTATGGATCTCTTACATAGACTCAAGCCTGAGCACAAACTAATAAACCCCTTATCGAGAGAGGAGCTCAATACCAAAAAGCAGCAATCTGGTGTTTGGCTGCTTCTTTGCTTTTTCGTAATAATAGTGTGTGAAAAGCCTAAAGGAAAGTATAAGGCTCAGAGCTGGGCTTGGGCATGTGCAGAGGTTTCCTCCACTCCTGAAAGCAGCAAGCACCAGAAAGTGGAGATGGAGACCTAGACATGGCACAAATATGAAATGTAAACACAAGACATTCCAGCACAGACCCTCACTGAAACAAGCCCTAGAGCAAAGCTCTCTCTTCCTGTAGGTGACAACTGCAAAGGGCTCCAGCATAATGGTATTTACTCAGTAAAGGAGAGCTGTGATGCACTTCAGCCTTAGAAACAAAACTTGAGCTATTCAAGTGTCCTGGCTTCAGACCTGAGGCTTTATTTGCACGTGGCTGCTGACTTCAGCAGGAGTCACCACTGCCACCAAAGGCTCTGCTCTGGGAGCCTCCCCAGCAGGAGACAGGGGATGGAAAAAGCCCTTTTGCTTCAGCTCAGCAGAACACAGAGCAAGGAAACACGGACTTAGTTTAGATGCAAACAGAAGTCACTTCGCCATCCTTTACTTCCCTTCCCCTCAGTAAATTGGGAAAAACCACATTCATCCTCCTGAAGATCTCTGACTGAGAATTAAACATTATTATTGTTAAAGGGTGATGCTAACATAGTCAGTAACATGTCTAGTACAGAGCATTTTTTTGCACATGAGGGTGCTGGGAAGTGTTAATGGGCACCTTTTCTTTTGCCTGTGTATCAGTCAGAGCCATCTATTTGTTAAAAATGAATTTTGCTATTTATTTTTTAAAACATTTCTTCTTAAGTTTTCAACCCAGAGTACAGAGTTTTAGTTAAGCTCTCGTGGTTGTGTTCATTCTAAACTCAACTCCAAACCTGACCTCTCTTGGGATGAAATTTTCTTTAAAAATATGATGGTAATTTCATTTCTAATAAAGACTACACAACTGTCTTCATATATGGAAGGCACTTGGAAAAAAAACCCTTTGTTTTTGTAGATGCAGCAACTTGAGAAGGCAGGAGTGGGTGAACAGCAGCCTAATCATTTTGTCGCCACTGACAAGCAGGGAAGGAGTTAATTATCCGCTTCTTTTCACTAATTCTCTTGCAGAGCTCGGTTGTGCATATTAAATGTCTAAGTTACCAGATTTAAAGAAAAACTTGATCTCAATTTGGCTACATATTAGAAGTGCCATTCCCTGTTGTCCTACCTAGCACTGTTAATTGCATACATTTAGCCCTCTATTGGAGAATAATTTAGCTTCAGATTGAAAAGAAACAGCCCTGGCCTTGGTTATTTTGGCATACAAGACTCCAGAATGACTCTGTTTTCTAAGCAGACATTAATGATTCTAAAACTAATATTCATTGTTTGAAGAGGCATAGCAGCCTTGGCATTTACTTAACCTTTTGTCTCATGTATGAGACTGAGTCAGCCTAAATCCTTTTCTTAATTAATATCTATTCTTTTTTTTTTTCTGTCCAACATTATTTATTAAACAATTTGCATGCAACAATTAAGAGTTGAGAGATTAGAAAAAAAACCTCACTGTAGGAGCAAGCTCACTTGGTACAACAACAACCATCAAACTGGTTCTCCAGCTCAGACAAAGCCCTGAGCAGGGATAAGAGGGGAATAGGGAGGAAGGAAGATCAGGTAAAAAAAAATAAAAATCTGAAACCAAAAGTCCTACCATTCACCTCTTAGCTCTAACATTAAGCTATTCCCTACTAAAAAAGTAATAATTCTAGAGGGAAAGAGATAAAATACTACTGCAAAAGCATAAAACCCTGGGATTTGACACCTCCAGTGAATGTCAGTGATGACAGTTATGGTTGTGAATAAAGTGCAATCACTGAAACTGTTTGCTTATTGCTGTGGTAGAAAGAAATTATCATTTCAGCTTCTTGTTGTGCCTCACAGGACAGCAGTGCCTGCTCCACAGGAGCTGCCCCAGCTGAGCTCTCTGCTTCTCCAGCCTCTTTGTTTCTGTGTGCTTCCTTGCACTCCTGTGGTCATAACTTCAGCGAGTAACTTGGTGAGTGTGCCACAAAACACCCTTAGGAATGCTGGGATCTATGAGGAAGTTGGCAAGGACACCTTTGGCAATGGCAATGAACAATTCTGGGGTGGCATTATGAGCTGCATGGCATTAACACAGAGCAGGATGGCAGCTGCAAACACAAGGAATTCACGTGGAACAGAGGCTGCAGCATCTCTGCTCACCTTTTCTCCCAGGCAGTAGCTCTGTGGAGTCACAGACACTTTCCCCAGTCTGTCTGCAAGGCCAGAGCTGAATCACCTTTTATATCCTACCAGGGCTGGGGGACAAACCAGACCTACAGGAAAAACTCAACACTATCCCAAAAAGCACAAGTGAGATAATATGAGCTGTGTTCTGCACCCATCAGGATATCCATCCTGATAGCAGGAAACCAATACAGTTCAGTTTCATACTTCATTGGTATCAAAGTCATCCTACATCCTCTATCAGCCAACCCCTAAAGCTGTTGGGATCTCCTTTCTAAAAGGTTTTAGGAGATCCCTGGGCACCACACCAGGCCCTTGACCCACACCTTTCACATGAGCCAACGGAGAATGAACCCTCCTACCTGTGATGAGGTCAACACTTGCTTGGGGGGAAGACACAGTGAAGGGAAAAAATGGGACCAATGCGTAGAGACTGTTCTGAGAGCTGAACTGGACCCCTGCCACTGTCTCGGTGCTCCCAAGAGAAACACTCCAGGGATCCAGATGTGTCATTTTCTCCACAACTACCTCACCAATGTGACACTACTTTAAATATTATTTCAGACATGGAGTGCAGCAGGTAATTTCAGGGCATGAACTACGGCAGCAGGTTTGGAAATCCAAATGCACGTCTATAAACCCAACATATTAATAACTTAACAGTTTTCAATAAGACATCAACATTTGCATGCATCTTCCTACTTGTTATGTGCAGTACTACATTTTTTAATGTTTCCTGGATGCTGGCCAGAGAGTCTGAGTCCCTAGTTAGTTCAGCTATTACTTTCTTGCCACAATAGATCTGGGTCTTGGCCAAGTACTGGACTCATACTGCATACAAAAACACAAAATTCTCTCCCTTATCTGTTGATAGTCTTCACTTCCCAGGGAAGGGAGAAAAAAATGGCATAAATTAAGATAAATAAATAAATACATAAAAATTCAACACTAACTGTAGTAGAAGTATTTTTAGCATTTTTTAACACTACGTGTAATCAAAAGATTTCCTCATGTATTTATACTGCTTTAGTCTCCCAAGAGTCTAATTCATGACTATTCACCTGAACAGGAGAGGAAGATCTCTTCTTTAAATCCCTCCTGGAGCTCCTCAGGCTTTCTACAAGAGTGAGCAAGGTTACCTGACCTGAAATAAAACAGGGGAGGAAGAGGCTTCAGTACCATCCTTCCTTTTTCAGTGTTTCTCAGCCTATGGACTATGAAGGGGTTTAAAGAGGCCATGAAGGGTTAGAGACGGCCTCTTTTTTACATTTGACCTTTTTATCCCTTACTCAGAGCCTCTGGTGCCTTCAGAGGAAGACGGATGAACACAGAGGAGATGCCTTTTGAATGAGGTTTGAAAACATTGTCCAGCACGGCTCTGGTGGCAGGGCAGTGAATGTTGCCTTTTATTGTGGGTTTAAGGTGGCAAACTCATACTTAGATTAACAAAGAACAAGGAGAAAGGAGCGGGAGGTGCAACAATCGTGGCTGTGGCTTCCCAGCCACGTTAATCCCCAGCAGCCTGAGCTGCCCCTGAAAGGGCTGGGCCTGCCCACCCGCCCGGCCCCCCTGGGAAGGTTTTTGCCCATGTGAAGATCTGCATTTTATCAGAGAATGTGGAGGCTACAACGTTCCCGAGCCTAAAATCGCCCTGGATCACTGCACTCCTCGGAGCGGGACAACGGCAACGGGGTTCCTGCCCTTGGTGACCATGG